GGTTTGACTTGAACGCCTTACCTTATCTGCTCCGTGTGATCCCCGGGTCCTCACCGAGTGGGCGTCCCCGATTGGTCGTTTCGGTCGGCCCCGACCGTGTCAGTCGAGTCGGAGAAGAGCTGCAAGCAGAGGTCCGGTATATCCCGGTCAAAAAAGGAGGTTAGAGTCGGACTATGTCCCCACCTTGGCCAGGCCTTCCGGTCGAGAACCGAATCATTCTCCCAGCCTGTCATTAGGTATCTAGGCCGGCCCGGGAGGCGCGCATTGTTGCTACGCCGTCTATTGGGCCGAGTTTTTGCTAGGAAGCGAACCCATTGGGAACCCCGGGTTTATGAACCCGACAATTCTTAAATTCGTCCAAATCAAAGTAAGGTCTTGTTTAGTTCTCCTCCTAAAATTTAGTCCCTATCACATCGGATGTTTGATATATGCATGGAGTATTAAATATAGACTTAAAAAATAACTAATTGCACAGATTGCGACTACTTTACGAGATGAATTTTTTAAGCCTAATTAGTTCATGATTTGATAATATGATGCTACAGTAAACATGTACTAATAATTGATTAATTAAGCTTAATAAATTTGTCTCGTGGATTACTGAGGACTTGCGTAATTTATTATATTATTACTATCCGAACACTCCCATATGACACATCATGTGACATCCAATGTGACATATTTAAACTTTAGCCCCTGAATTTAAACACCACCTAAACACCACTGCAATATATCTTCCACTTGTAACAGCAGTACGTACAGGTCCATTACAGGTCCATTGAAGCCTCCTATCATAGTGGCAGGCCATGTAGGTACGCACGTCGTCGTCTATTTGGCAGGCACTTACACACAATCCTCTGTGTACAGTAAATGAGCCATTGAAAGACATCAAATGAAGCAACCTACCCCTCTTGCACAACACAACACAAGTGTAAGCATGCATTGTGTAGGGGCAGGATTTAGGAGGCAGAACTGCAGCAGAATGGCCTATCACTAACCAGGCTTTATGGCCTGCATGGACTGGGGCGTGATTGGTTGCAGAGCAGGCCTTGAGCCAGATGGTCAGGCTGTGCAGGACCGTAGAAGTCGGGTTGAGCTCATGCAGGTGGTGTGTTTGGTTGTCTTGGCTTTTGGTTCAGTATGAAATTGGATTGTGTTTGGTTGCATGCATGCATTAGTTTTTTTTTTATGTCTGACGATGGGTCCCTACATCCTGGGTGAATCAAATCATCCTGCACCATGAGGGAAGAAGAAATTCAGAAGACGGAGCCGTGCGGGGTGGAGGAGAGCAAACGAATGAAAAGATGTAGACAAACGGTACGAGCAGAACCACCAAACACTGGCGTAAGTGCACGGGGACGCAGGATACCCCTTTGGGCAACCAATCACGCCCCCAGGAGCTGGTTGGTGCTCTCCACATGGGCTAGCTCGCATAGCACTGCAAGAGATAGGCTAAAAGGACAGTGGAGCTCAAAGGCTATACAGGAATATCATTGCATTGCCTTAGCCCTTAGGCCTCGCTTTCCTTTGTGGAAGCCACCAGGCGCTGTCCAGACGAGAGAATTCATGCAAAAATCTGGTGAAAAGAATGGAGAGGGGAACAAAAAGGAAGGAAAGGCGTTCCCCATGCACACAGCAAACGCGACAAGCCAAAAAGCCGGGCCTCCGCTCCACTGATGCGTAACCAGCGGCGCACCTGAGTGTAGACACACGTGCTATGGTCAAGGTAGTGCAAAAGAGGTTTTTCATAGTCACCATGTGAAGAAACTAGGATGGAATGCTCCCCATGCATGTTCTTCATCCTCATCATCAAAGCCACTAATCTTTTGATAAATGGATCGCTTCAGGAATTTTAAGATGTGAATATCAACTCAAGCGCATACTTCCTCTGGAGGAGGAGGAGGATTTACATTGGTTGATGGACAGAAAGAGTGGGTATCTTAATAGACAATCAGGATGGATCTATCTTTGAGGACATTGCAGAACTCGGCGGAAAGCATAGGTATTTCAAATAAAGGACATGTAGAGAGCAAGAACATATATAAAATGACTAATTGATCTTCCTTAAGAGACATGCGCATGGTTTTAAATGATGATAGGCTCTATCATGCAAGGGTCAGTTTGTGCGTCTGGTTTATTCCTAAGATGGATTGATGATGTACTAGCATCTATAGCAATAAGATGCTTCCCTAATCATTTTCCCTTGTACAAAAAAATTCCAACCATTCACAAATGCCTTTGAGGTAGACATTTATGAGGCGCCCACCACCTCCAGCTGTCCCCGCTAGAGGAAAAGAGAGAAAAAAAAAACTATCCCTTAATGCGCCCTTCACACAGGGGGTACAGTTTTGTTCTTAAATGCTTCCCCTCTGTATCTCTCTACAGAATGCAGCATTTGTGCCTCAACACGGCTGTCACGCATGCATGCTTGCAAAGACTCGGTTATTTTTCAGATCAGAAGTTAGTGGTGAGTGGACAAAATGGATTCAATTCCAAATAGTGAAGCGAAACAGCCACTGTGCACCAGCAATAGATGTGCAGGAAGGAATCCATGCCATGTCCAGAAACAGTAGCAACAACAGAAGCAGCAACAAGCAAAGAAAAAATAGCATTACCTTTGCCCAACAGGGTGCCTCAGCTCAGAACAGCACAGGGCATTGATGAAGCATGCAAGACTGTGCTGCGTTTTACTGCTGCAGCAACCCGACTAGTCAATCTAATGCGCGCATGCATGGATGCAAGCGGTTCCAGAGTTAATGGCTACATATCTCTTTGCATCTTCCTTGAAAAAAGAAACTTTACTTGCCAGCCACACCAGTTTTTTCAGAGGATGGGTAGTAGGAGTGGGACTTGTTTAGATCATCTCTAAATTTTAAGTTTTTTCATTCTCTTTATCACATCAATTTTTTGGACGCATGTATGGAGCATTAAATGTAGGTAAAAAAAATTAACTAATTACACAGTTTGGTTGTAAATCACGAGATGGATCTTTTGAGCCTAGTTAGTCCATGATCGGACAAAGTTTGTCAAATACAAACGAAACGTGCTACAGTGTCCATGTTGCAAAAAATTACAATCTAAACAAGGCCCAGTAACCTTTCTCTTGTCAGTAGAAATCAGTAAGGTAGGTGCACACTACTCCTACACTATCATGAATCCCAGGAAATTTGAAAAATGTGTATGCCAATTCAAGACTGATCATTTTTCAAGCAGGCTGCAGACAACTTTGATGCATCCTAGAGACCAGAGGTTTCTTTCAGTATAAAACACTAGAAGAAAATATCTGTTACTTCTTTTTTTTCTTTAGAAGACGATTTACCTCGCACAAGTTAGCACTTGAATGAATAAAATAGCTGTTGCTACTTGCAAGTCGTCCTATAAAAGTGCCCATTTTAATCTGCATCTGAAACTCTAACCTTGTGTGTTGTGTATCTCGCAGCAACTGCAGCTTGCCAGCTAGCAAAAATTTATTTTTACTAAATCCTTTCACATAGTAGGAATTTAGATTCTAGATAGTGAATGTAGAATCTGAATTCTAGCTAAAACAAATGGGGTGTTTGGATCGTGGATTATTGTTTTTGCATAGGAACTATCTCCGAATAGTAAGATTTGAATAGATAGTAGGGTAAAAAAACCTCGTTTTAAAATAGAATCCAAGTGTTTGAATCTCATTCTTATTTCTCTACCTCATACTTACAGTTTCTAGGAGATCCAGTGAGGGCCTAACTCAAAGTGCAGCTTCATAATAAGGAATTTGAATTGTCTAATGGTTTTTGTTCAGGAAGAGCTCTGATGTCCCTCAGTTTTTCTTGAAGGCTCGTTTGCTCTGGACCACTGTATTAACCTGAACTCTGCAGGACAGGCCAGTGAGTCAGTGACACATCATCGAATGGCCATAAATGGGCAGTTTATGGTCATAAAATTGCACCATAAATATTGCAGTTCCTAGAGCTGCTGTCATTCAATCAAAATGACCGGTTGTCAAGCCAAAGATCTCCCCTGGATCTCATTCGTCCTGCGTGGGAGACCTCGCAGTTCCAGGGGGAGGGGACGGGCCTGCCTGGCTCACCAGTGAAGTTTACAAGACACAAAGCGGCAGGCTACGGGCTAGAGAAGCGAAGCAGGGCAGCAGCTGAGCCGCCCAGTGCCTGTTGACGGGGCAGTGAAAACCCTATCGCTAGTACTAGGCAAAAGGCGCATGAATGCATGATTGTAGTTCTGAACTTCTGATCAACAAACAGTAAAACTGTGCAACTGAAGCGCATTAAAAAGTGGCCAGGCAGACCCAGTGGTCACCATTGTCAAGTCAGTTCTCCCAGAAGTTAAATGCTCTCTATATGTGCAACAGAGCAGAAATTCAAACCCATTACGCAGATAGGAAGCAGAAATTCAAACCCATTACGCAGATAGGAGTACATAACAGGTTACGGCAGAAATTAGAATCAAGGACTGCATAGATGAAATTTCACCTGTTCTTGCAGGCGCCAGAGGATGCATGGATGGACCAAATCAGGAGAGTGTTGAAGATGGTGCATCAGTGGAAAAATCAATTCCAGATCTTGACTGCTCAGAGATGCACGGGAAGCACACATGATCTAGCCATGATGAAAAAACTGAATATCGACAGTTTGGTTCACGAGTCATGACTGTTTGCTGCTAGAATTTGCTACTGAGTATGTCTCCATTCTGTCACGTACCGAGGTCCAGTCCTCTGAACTGTGACGAGTGGTGATATTTACATGTCTGCTTACAAAAAAAAAACTACCAATCAACTTGAGTTAGACTGGCAGGATACATAAAATGTACACACAACAACGTATACTCCCAACAACGTATACTCCTGTATGAATGGATCAACCACAAACTCTGCCAAAATAATCGGCATAGGTGGTCTGTGATCATCCTGCTGAAGTAACTACTAACTAGTGCCAGCTTCTGTGACGAACAATTACACAAGTTGAAGGAGCGTTGCAGCTTTTGGGTCAAGAACAGGCATGGAACTACACAAGAACCTGCGACTTGGCCGCACGACGTGAGCATTTGGTGCGAGCATTCTTATTCAAGCTGCAAGCACACCCTTCCAGCAGCTCGAAGTCTTCATCGCATATTAGTATGGATGCTATCTCCGGACAGTCCAATAGCATCTTAGAGCTAAGATATCCGGCAATGGTCCAAGTTTGATATAGCCGCGATTGTTTCCCAATGAACCTTCCTGTCCTGGTGTCATAATACTCTGGCCACTTGTCATCTGAGAGCCTCTTTTCTGCCACCTCAACTGCCCTCCGTGCCAAGTCACGCCTACCCATCTTGATACAGGCTAAGGTAAACTGAAAAAAACAAGACAAAATACTGAACATCAATCTAATAGGGCGAACTTTCAGGAGCATCATGGACAGAGGATGTCAAGTCCCAAAAAGTAGCGAACAACTTAAGTATACCTGCCATAACAATGTAGGCCAAGATCCACCATTATGATACGACCAGGGCCTGAAAATAAAGGCAATGCAAGCCAACCTGGTTAATGCATCTGGTCATGCTTTTGGTGAGTATTAAGAGAGAAAAGGAGTTGCTATTTCACCACATTTTAGGGCCTCATATAGATATTGACGTTCTTAAATGTTAGAATGTACTGGATTTTCACATTCCTATTCCCTAAGTACTGGGCTTTTTGTATCCCCATAAAACATATGATGATACGAATATTCAGAAGAAAACCAAAAGAATATAAAAAGTTCAGTTGCTCACGTGTTTTTGGGATCACTGCCGGTGATGATACGCCATTCCTCATACTCTAGTGCAGGGTAGCATATTTTGAGAGGCATGTTGGCTACTATGTCATCCCATTTGGCTTCAATAAGGTTCAGAATGCCCTCTGCTTGCCTTTGAGTAGCAAGAGATGAGACAATCGCCCACAGATTCCCTAGGGAGAAAAACCTGAAATCCATGTGAGCTGGCTGCAGATTGCCTATAAGGTAACCGCCTTTCACAGGAATCCAGTCTGCAAGCCAAGATGGAATTTGCTCCGGGTAGATGTTGAATTTGTTAATAGCATCATGGGAGTACTCCTCAGTCTTATAGCGATAAATCTCATTTATCTTCTTCATATCAACCCAATAATACTCTCTGATGTGAAATGACAGAGCACTGAGCCTGTTGTTAATAGCACGGATCAAGTTCTTGGATCCATCGGTTACACCAATCATTTCTCGGGCACAGCGTAAAGCAGAATAGAACAGAGCCTGTGAAACAGATCCCATAAGATGTTTATGAGAGTTATTTTCCATATATACTGATTTTATCTAATATACGGAGCCCCATGCAATTTCAAAAACATTTAAAGGTCTTATAGGTACTAGATAGCAAATAACAATCACAAAGTCAAATGGACAACCTAAACATATGGCAATTCAAACACCAACCAAAAAAGTCAAATTGAAATATTGAACAGAGACTAGATAGCAAGAAATTTCAAAATCTGAATAATATCATCATGCAAAAACTAACCAAACATATCATAAGTTCAACGCCATTTGACCAACAACATATTGACTATGTAGAGATCATGGATTTGACCTTATGATCAAGGCCGAGCGAACAGGGCACATAACATCATCCAAAAGTTACCTAACATGATTGAGAATGTAAAGAGAAGGGTTCATCAGCTTGCCTGGATCTCAAGAGGATGACCATGGATTCCCATCCGCCGATCAATCATACATGATCCATCAGTTACAAGCAATGTAGGAAACATGTCAAATCCATCAGACAAGCACAAATTCAGTATTAGCCTGATGCCTGTCTGCACATCAACCCTTTCTTGTAGAGCGTAGTCTCCAGTAATTTTTCCATATGCCCTTAAAAGGATTATCCACCAAAGACCTTAGAAAAAGAGAGCTTATCATTTAAAACAGATGACAAAAAAACCCTGATCTTCATGACTACAATATGACTCCATAGAAATACTCACCAGAGTCAACAGGTGCTACACGTCCAATGGCTGACTCTCCAAAATCTGGGTCAAGGACCTCCTCAAATGCTTCACTATTTCCATCTAAAGGCACAGATCTAACTTTGAAACTAGCAGGCATCAACCCCTGACCAGGACTATAGCAATCCACGGTCTTCTCCCAACTCTAATAGACCAAAAGAAAGGAAACTGTTACTTCTCCTACTAATTTGATATTTAGAGTGAGCGAAAACATTCATGAGCTAGCAGTGTCATGCCACGATGCGAAGAAACGTGTTAAAATGCAGCGTCCTACGCTACCAAATAATCAACCAGAAAAGCACCCTAACATTGGAGGATCAGTGGAGCTAGGATTTTGGTATTGGTTAAGTTAAACATTTCAGCAGAAGATACCAATTTCTTCCTCCCTTTTCAAATCTAACAGTTTTGACCAAACATGCATAACTAAGCACAAATATTTTGGAAAAATTTTGACCAAGGTGACACTCATTAATATCTCAGGCACACATGAAAAGGTAAAATATATGTAGATGGATCAATCCACAGGTATTCATTGGGATCATAAAAGTGTTGTTGCATGCATTGGGAATCATAAAGTACCAAGTCTATTTGTGAAAAGAAAATAGGTCGAGAATTATTTGGAAACAGAGGCTGTACATATAAAAAATTAAATAGGGCAAAGTATGTATCTATTGTACAACCAAACAGCATCATGAAATAATACAAAGTCACGCAATCAGACTAGTCAATAGTCATCACGTAGACGATATACCAGTATAGTAGACATCACAGAATAATGCTAGGCAATTTGATTACATTGTCCCTTCACACACCCGCCCACACAAACCCTGACATCATTTCTCCCAATAGACAAGGGAGGCAGGATGCAGCTAATGCAAAGGCTCAAGTACTCGACAGGTTGATGGGGACATAGCTTCACAAGGTTGGGCATGTTGCTCCACTGGTGTGTTGGTTGCTGGTCTGCTGCTCCAGCTAACTAGTATGAGGGAATCAAAGGTTCAGAATTGGGGTGATAAACTAGCCGACTGGTGAGCCAGTACAGCAGCGCATTTATCTATGTACCCCTTGTGTGTGTGTGTATAGTACTATTTTACAGGGTTTTCAAAAATAAATTGCGGTATAGCTGTACTTCCATGCATACCACTTGGGACGATGAAAAAAAAAATGATAGGCTTCTTTTGACAAGGCAACATTTATCATATATGTCTCAGATATCAGTTCTCAATATCCTCTATCCCCAACAACATTAGTCAAAATCAAGTATCAAATTGCTGTTAAAACAATCCAAGTCTCCAATGCGTATGACATACCATGTGATAAAACTAGATTGAGTAGATTGCCTTCTCTAATAGCTTTACCTGAGAACATCAGTTTAACTATCTTTCTAGCATACATATAATTATAAATAGTTATAAATAATCAAAAGGCATCAATATTCATAAACTAAATGCTGACACATGATCCTGGTTTTGCAAGGCAGTATTCCTATCATCTGATCATGGAGGGCATAGCTATTGAATGAAACAGAAACCTCAACGGTGATCAGCATTGAATACTAAACTGATAATATAATCTTTCTATAACTTTCTTTATCTTAACCTTATGCCCACAGAAAACCAAGAGTACCACTTATGGTAGGTCAAACCAACAGACTTTACACTTCTCTGGTTCATAGTATGTGGGCTACTTTTAAATGCAGAAGCATCCTATTTTACACTTAGCATAGTAATGTTTGCCTATGGATTACAAATGACTACAAGCTTCAGTTCATAACTAACGCCAAATACCCAAAGGAAACCAGCTATATTGGCCATATCCCTAATGCTACATGATAATCTTAATAATCTAATGAAGAAAAGCTAAAGAGATAACTGAAATAGCTCAAAATTAGCTTATAGTCCAAAAGAATTATGGACCACTGTCAAACTAGTTGTGCGCGCGGCACGCCAAAAGACATTTAAATCCCTCAAAACTGTAAGGATCTTAAGTGAACAATTGTGCAGCAACCCTGCCAAAAGAGTTCTGAGCAAAAAACGCTGCGACCAAATTGCAGGTACCCTGTTTTTTTTTTTTTATGTGATCTAGACTCAGCATTTGAAACCTCTTGGCAGCTGCTGGAATGGCCACTATGATCAATGCATGCCCTCTTCTGACAGAAATGGCACTTGAGCAGTTTACGGTATTGCTGGACTAGATGTAGGTGAGAATATGAAGTCAGAAAACCTTTTGTTTTCTTAATTAAACTGTCCAATACTCCACTGTTTTCAACCGTTCAATTTTCTGGTAGGGTGTCTAAATCCTAGAGATTGCAGATAGCTGTAAATTAAATGATTGTTCACCAGAGATTAAAATTCTCAGATTCTAAATTGGTTATTCAAGTAAATAATCCAGAGCAATCAGACATCGCCAACTTTACAAAGAGAATTATACCTTCACCAAAACTACATTTCATCGAGTAAAAAAAAGCACAGTATGCCACTACACCACAAGTGAAGTGCCATTTACTAAGTCATTCCGAGGTTTGCACGGCTCACCTGGAGCTGCAACGTGTGGAGCAGGAAGTTCTTCACAATATCGCTCTCGCCCTTGAGGAGGAACGCGATGGCCGACGGCACGAAGTCCCTGATGAACACCTGGTCATAATTGAGCATCTGGCTGGTGGATGGATCGTTCGCGGCTACTGTCCCGACGGCGCTGCCGCAGTAGTTGACGACCGCGCGGCTGAGCAGCCACCACGCTTCCTTCTCCTCCGGCGACTCCTCCCTGCTCTTCACCGCCTCCACCCCCGCCTTGAGGCCCTCCAATTCCACCTCTTGGCACGCCAGCGTCGCCTGCTCGTGCGCCGCCACGGACGCGGCCGCCTCATCCTGCAGCGGTGGGCTGCTCGGGGGCGACTCTAGCGGCAGAGCCGAGGGCGATAGGGTGGCGGCGCGGAAGGGGTCGAAGGACGGCGGCTTGTAGTGCTCCCCCGACGTGGACGTGGCGGAGTCCACCGTCGTGGAGAGGAGGCGGCGCGCGGCCGCGGCGAGCGGGGAGGCCGCGGCCACGGCGGAGGAGGAGGAGAAGCGGCGGCGCGACAGCGAGATGCATAGCACAGCGTGGCGCTGCGCGCCGCGGCGGAGGTGAGAGATGGCGGCGGCCGCCATTGGAGCCGGCGTCGGCGCCCGCCGGTTTGAATTGCGGAGGAAGAAAGGTCCGCGGCGATTGGGTTCGGCGCTGGCGAATTTTGGGATGAGAAGGAAGCACGGAAAGGAAATTGAGGTTGGTTCGATTCGATCGCTGCGGTAATTATCAGAACAGCGGTTGGAACGGGATTAAAACTCGTTAAAGACAGCCAGGATAGTTTCTGGTTTGGGAAAGTGTAAAATATAGGCTGCTGTGGCATCTTACGGCACAGGGCGCGCCACGTTCGTGGGCTCGTGGCGGTTAATAAACACGTGCCGTGCTTTGGAAGGGCCGAGCCGCCGAGGGGGAGCTGTGGCGGGTGATTTGTGGTTCGCGTGGCCGAAATTTTCTTTTCCCTTTTTTCACATTTGATTTGAAAAAAAAATCCATTATCGCTTGGCTGAGTTGGCTCTTTGGTCCAGGCAAGGATCTTATAGGTTACGGCAGACAAGCTTGAAGCCAGAAAGTAGCCATACAATCCAACGTATGCTTTGTGTGATTAAGAGCGAGAAACGGCGGTGCACCTTTGTATCCAGTGCCCATTTGCAAAGGAGGTTTAGATGCAGCTTAGAAATTAAGTTACAGGGGATTTGGTTGCCTCAAACCGAGAATGCAAACAGTAGATGATTAGTGGCTACCATCTTTGCAAGATCACAACACTATGCAAAGAAGAATGATTGTGTAGACACCGAAAAATCCTTACCACCAGTCGATTAGGACTTGGCCGATGGAGATCCCTCGTCATCAAACGACAAGCTGGGAGATCTACTTTTGTTTAAAATGTTGTCGTAGAAAGCAAAGTGCTACTTGAAGGATATGATCGATTGTGTATTTTGCTATCCATCATTTTCCATAGTAATGAAAATGCTCTTGGCTCGACATAGTTTGTTTGATTCATCCCGAACCGAATTTGCGCCGGGTTGTAAGTAAAGTAAATAGTACAGGATGGAGCTCAAGAGGACAAAATTTCTTTTTGATCAAGAGAAAGAATCTAGTGTTAGTGAAAACTAATAAATTAGGCCAACTTTATCAGTCTATCCTTAATATAGAAATCAAAAGGTTAAAATAAGAAAAAGTCTATTTTTGGAAGATTGAAAAAACTTTTTTGATTAAAAGTCTATCTGAATCAATTGTTCATATTTGATTTCTATAGAAGAGTGAAATGCTTTATTGAAGGAAATAAGAAAAAAAAAAGAAAAGGGTACGTTGCTACTCTATTGAAAGAAAAAAGAATAGGAGTTCCCCAAGTAATGTCTAAACCCAAGGATTTCACGAATCAAAGATAAAGGATTCCGAAACAAGTAAACACGATTTTCAACCGTCTCAACAATAGAATTAGATCAGAATAAGGAATAAAAGTCAATTTGTTCGAGATGAGATAAAGAAAGGAGTTTAGAGACGACTCAAAAAAATTTGAAGGGTTTTTCTTTTGAAGTTTGTCGGTCAAAATTAGCCAACTTGAGTCATGAGTATAAATGAAATTTGTTTTTTATTTTCTTTAAGGAAATTAAGCAAGTCATAATCGAATTTCTATCTATTTGCATTATAGATATAAATTCAAATCATTTTCTCGAGCCATATGAGGATAACCTCCTATACATTTCTAGGGGGACTATGAGAATGAAAAAGATTTCTACATATCCAACAAAAACGAGCAAGAATATTCCAATCTGATAAATCAGTCCAAACGGGTTTACTAATAGGATGCCCTGATCCAGTACAAAATTGAGCTTTTGATAAGGATAGAACGAGGGGAGGTATGGATTCTCAAGAAGAGAGGAGCTGCGGTGCCCCCTCCCCCCCTCGACCGCCCGGATCCCAGGAGTGAATAGAAAAGTTCGATCTACATGGTGCCTCCTGAGGAGAAGTTTGCTTGGTTTTAAACTCCAATTCAAACGGGAGGAGTACGCCATGCTAATGTGCCTTGGATGATCCACATCTTCGGGTCAGGCGTTGATGAGCACATTGAACTATCCATGTGGCTGAGAGCCCTCACATCCCAGGCACAATGATGCAATTATCAGGGGCGTGCTCTACCATTGAGCTAATAGCTCGTCGCGTGGGCCTCTCAAAGGGAGGCCTGCTACACCAAAAGCAAGAAAAACTCCATCCCTTTCCTTTTGACATCCCCATGCCGCCACACGGGGGGGCTGGGGACGTCATGCTATCACTATCAACTAATTTGTTCCGACCTAGGATAATAAACTCATGTTTTCTCCTCATACGGCTCAAGAAAGTGATTTGAATTTCTGTCCATAATGCAAATAGATAGAAATTCGATTACGACTTGCATTAATTTCTTTAAAAATACTCCAATGCAGGATAAGTCGGTTTTGAGTTTGCGGACGTGCCAATCAGTTTGATCCTGTAACTGACAAGGGATAGAACTGTTAATAGCCCAAAATGAAACATATCGGCTTCCATGCTGAATATTTTTCAAAAACCCAACCGGCTAAGGAGCCGCTGCTTTTGGTAGAGGATCGATATGATAACAGAATCATTGGCTGTAAGACTCAATTATGGAAAATAAAGCCGATGACAGTAAAGGAAATAAGGAGATATTGCTATCGGCTAAAAGAGTCGATGGACATATATATCAAGATATTTTAACATGAAGCATATAGACTATTGGCTAGGAAGCCGATAGGTTGTAGCATACGAATAATTACAAGTCTTACTGTAACCAGAACTATGAACTTAACAAAATCTAATCTAACGTCACAACCAGACAGGTTGGTAAGATGCAGTGTTGGTAGCAGGGCGATAGACTAAAATTGCAAGTCAATAGATCTAGCTACAATAAAACAAGCTCTTGAAAGCATACTACAAAAAACCAAGATTAAGATATAACGAGCTAGAGAAACGATCTGACATCAACAAAGATATGATCAAGTTTGAAGGACAACAAGACGACAGATTTATAAGACATGAGCCTATGCATCTTAATCAAGGCGTGATAATTCTATCAAATCAAGTAAGAAGTCATAAGATGCAGCCTTACAAGATGTGATAACTAGGCAAACTAGACGAAACCACAGCGATGCGCCGATGATTAAAGCCTAGAGCACCTGATTTGACGAAGACCGTGTCAGACTGGAGATCGATTAGATTCGGCCCTATCTTGCTGAGAACTCATCGGGATCGACATTACATCCTACTCCAAATTGTAATGGCGTAATGCCGAAAGAGATATGTTGTATTGATTGATAGATGTCCTTGATACAATAGCCGCGGCTTATATTTATACCCTGGGCTGACACAAACTCCTAAACGAATATGACTAGGAAATTCTAGTATAAAAAGAAACTAATCTAATTTATATAAGTAAAACTCTACTATTTCCTTTCTGGTAGGGTCCATCTTCATTACGCCTGAGCTGATACTGTGGCCTTCACGATTCCTTCATGAATTCGATCTCTTCTAGATAAGCTTTTCATCGGCTGATTGCGCTCTTCCCTTAACCGAATCCATTAACGAATCTTACCAAATTTTGGTGTTAACAGATTGAAACATCATGTATACGGTTTGGAGCATCTAAAAGAAGAGAAACAGAAGATTTTTAGGGAAAATTAAATTCGCCATGCAAATATTCAATCTTAGGGTGTTTGGGTACAGGAGACTAAACTTTAGTCCCTGTCACATCAGATGTTTGATATTAATTAGGAGTATTAAATATAGACTAATTACAAAACTAATTGCATAAGCTGTGACTAATTCATGAGACAAATCTATTAAGCCTAATTAGTTCATGATTAGCGAATGTGATGACATATGCTAATCATATTAAATAGGCTTAATAAATTCATCTCGCGAATTAGTCATGACTTATGCAATTAGTTCTATAATTACCTTATATTTAGTCATCCTAATTGATGTCCAAATATTCGATGTAACGTGGACTAAACTTTAGTCCCTAGATCAAACCAAACACCCCTGAAATGGCCCTCGAGAGTGTGGCCTGTGAGCATCTTGTATTAATGGTATTAGATGGAAACAGAGCTGCAGCTCTAGTGTTCTTTGGTTTTCTATGTAATATAACTTGCTTTCTCTTGTTAAATGATATATGTAGTGCTCCTGTAAACTTTCAAAAAAAATTGAACTTGTTTGGATACACTCGTATCTAGTTCATTCCATATGTGCTAGAGTGGATTAAGGTAAAAAATAAAACTAAGACACATGAATCGATAAGGATACAAATGCATCCAAACAAGATTTTAATTTATAGGTTTTGAGCAATGTGGACGCAAACAAGATTTTAATTTATAGGTTTTGAACAATGTGGACCCAAACAACCAGTAAAGTACTATTTCCTCCATTCACAAAAGAATATAATTATAGCAAAGTACAAGTAACTTGAATTTGATTAACTATAAATTAAAAATACCAATATTTATAACTAATGAAGTATCATTAGTTTTGTTATGAGATATATTTTCATACTATACTGACCCCCGTGTCGTCCCTCCCGTGGTGACTCGGGGGGCATCCACCGCCGCCGTCGAGGGAACCTCCCGGGCAGCCCTTCTGGCTGCTGTCGCCGTCCCGTCTGGCGTGCAGTGGCGGTGGCCCACGGTAATGCTGCTCAAAATGGCAGCTGTGCCTTCCTCCCCACCTCCCACCGCTTCCTCTCCTCCCCCTCACCCTCCCCAACCTCTTCCTCATCCGGCGGCAGGAGCTCAGTGGCCGGTGGTGCTCCTAAGTCTAAGCACCGGATCTGGCTTGTTGCGGCTCTGCGGTGGCGGCGCCCCTCTCTCATGGCTAGATCTGGCTTGGGCCAGGCCATGGTGAGCCGGTGGCCGTGCCTCCAAGCAGGTGGCGGCCAAATCCGGTGGGCAAGTCGCCAGGCGGCCACTTCGCGCGCTCGCTCGTGGCCAGAGGCGGCCGGGGTGAAAGGTCCTAATGGCTAGAGGGGGGTGAATAGCCTATTGAAAGTTTCTACAACAACACTTAGCAAATATGTTAGATAATTAAACGGTGAAGC